AGCTCAACTAACATGACAGATGAAATCTCAAAAGTAAATTTTGTATTCGCCCGATTTTGTTTAAGGTGATGATGGACTGGAAGCTGAATCTGCCCACAACAACATGAGTAGGCCTCATGTTTACATTAAAATTTACATACAATAGCTTCCAAAGAAGCATTCTGGATGATAATATCTTTTGGGAAGCAAGGCTATGTGAGATTCAATGGAAACATGAGGTGTACTACCAGTCCTTGGTCAGTTTAAACAAAACAGATTAAACAGCTCTGACTTGAAACACAAGTTTTAGAGTGTTACTAAAGGCAGGGATAATTGACGATACATTCAGTCCGAAGCTGGAAAGTATCGTGGAGACTATGGATTCTGAGCAAAATGCATTCATCCAGGTCCCCTTGACAATGCGACCAGGTTGCAAAAACGAGGAAAAACCACTTCTGTACTTGCCTTTTATTTATTGTGTGTGTAGTGTGTTTGCTAGGTTTTTCGGAGTCCCTTTTTAAAGACAGACTGATTTGCGAAATATATTGCCAATAGTCTTGGATATATTTATTACTACGAGGATTCGATGTATTAGATTGGCAAACTGCCAGGCTTCTATCTTTTGAGAGCATATTTGGGCGCGGATGGTTCGAATCCCTCAATTGGTGATGAATAGTCGATGAAGTGCTGTATACAGTCGACAGATGATAATTGTCTTTAGGTTGCATGAAAAAGTAAAATTTAATGTTAAAATCGAGCCTTAACTTCAGTTCATCATGAACGGTCTTTTTATCAATCGGATACATAAACCTTTGTGAAAAGATATAAATCCACAGTAAAAACTTTGGAAAATAAACGAGGTTTTGGGGAAAATAATTGTTTTTTTTTCATTTATAAGTTGGTTTACGAGATCATTAGTAGATCATTTAGATCATTCACCCTTATTCGTTCAGGGTACTCTCATCCATGCTGGACTGAAGTGCAGTTTTGACCTCGCCTCGGTCTCATCAGCACACCCATGAGAACTCGAACCATGATAGTGACAAGTAGAAACACGACACACTAACCACGGAACATTCAATTACCGATGACCTTAAACGAAATAATACATCTGATATATATGATCTACTGGCAGCCTCGAACCCTTATCTATAAGCAAAAAATAACTTATGTAGGTATAAAGACCAAGATGGTGTGGTTTTTTGTGTGGTCGCAGTCTCCTTTCCTTGAATAGAAGTTGTTTGACCTTGTTCTTGCAACTCGGTCATATTGGTAGGAAGACTTAAAGAAACGCACCTAGTCCGGGACAAGTGAACTTGTCCCTTTGACGAGTTGTAATATGGTGCTACGAATGGCGAGACTACCTGACGATGCCGACTACGATGCGGGCGAAACATCTGGGAATGTACCACGTACACGGTCCTACTCTGGAAATGATGATGCTTTCAATGGACCCAGGACTAGGTGCGTTTCTTTAAGTCTTCCTACCCATATGACCGAGTTGCGAAAACAAGGTCAAACAACTTCCAATAACTTATGTAGTCGAATTCTGTAGCAAATACAAATATGCTTCACTGACAATCCCACAACAGGATATGGCATGGGAAGAGACCCATTCCTTCTTTAAAATCACATATACCCTGTGACCCAAGAGCACCTGTGGCGATGTGGCTTGGTGGTTAATATGTCTAGATTATATGTTGCACTATCATGGTTCGAGTCCCACTGGAGGTAATGATGAAACCTAGAGAGGCAAAGATATATGAAATGCAATGGCAACGTAAGGTCCACACATATTATTATGGGAAAATTCAACTAACAGTCCATTTATCAGATTATACGAAATAGAGTGAATAAACTTCATATATATATATACGAAGAGTAACTGTGTTTCGATGAATCTCCTGAGATAATATTGTTGGGGGGACTTTCATTTCGTATGAAAGTGCATGAAGAAGAGGTTCGTTAGTCGATCTCACCAGCTGAGGACGGATGAATCTCGTTGTACTACAGCCGTTTGGTTTTTATATGATGTACATGTTGATGCAATCCATGTGATATCCTCCCTCGTTTCGGGGGAAAATGGGCTGGGCTTTTGTCCATCATATGATGGACATCATCAGAGCTGGGTGTCATTCTTGTAAGAGCCTTACGTCGACACTAGGCCAAGAACACTATTCGGATTTATCTTACCTCTTATATAGACTCAATAGAAAAACCAACGAGATTCATCCGTCCTCATCTGGTGAGATCGACCAACCAATCTCAATTTCATGAACTTTCATACGAAATGAAAGTCCCCCCTTCATATATAAGGCAATCGTATGCCTATTGTTTTAAAAAAGATACGATATAATGATTTGTTTATACAAAATTTCTGGCCCATTAAGTCATCTAGTTACCACAATTATGTTCGTAAGTCTTGTTGTTCCATTGAATTTCACGCAACCTTGCTCTCCAAAGCGTATTCTCATCCAGGCCATAGAGGACTGCAGTTTCGACCTCGCCTAGGTCTCGTCAGCGCAGTCAGCGGGACTCGAACTCAGACTGTGTTAATACGGAGTTTGGTTTCGACAAGTCAAGGACTATGCCATATTGCCACCAGTTCCCTTGGGGTAAAATCCATAGTCCTGTCTGGGTGAAAATACTTTCTATGCAGGAAGGCTAAGTGCATTCTGGGACTGATTTGAGCGAAATTCAATTTCCACTTCTTTAATATCTTATGTAACCTAGGATTAGTAGATCTTATTTTCGAGCTTTACTAATATTCTCGAAATTGGACTTTATAAGAATAGAATCAGACATTTCCTCCTT